CATTATAATGATAATCTTAGAATGTAGTAGAAGAGCAGTGATTAATTCTGAAGTCAAATAGTCCCAAAGATACGGTTACGGCAGCTTTGCAAAAGCAGATGTACGTATAGGTACTGAGCAGGGTTCTGATACTGTCTATTTTTCATAACTTGATTGGGATTTAAAAGACATTCACCTGATACGAACACGCCTCTCTTTTGTTGAATAGCCATTGTTCGCGGTCGGATAGTGGAATCCACTGTATTTGATTTGGATTGGCCGATGTGCTTCTAGTCAGGTAGTTAAACTGGGAGTAACAAACAATTCGGTTTAGAAAGCACTTATGCGATGTGCACGATAGTTTATGGTTGTAGTGGTGCAATCACAGGGAAAAGAAAGTAATTTGACTCAGAAGTTGTGACAAGTTTGGATAAATTCAGATATGAGACGTGAACCGATCAACACTAGACTAGTGGAATAATCAACGACCACAGAAAGGTACGGACTCAGAGAATAAAAAGAGGGGATATAAGAAAGACATAAAAAATGAAAGTTATTGTCAGTGAACCATGTCAAGGACAAAAACAAAATAAGGACCGTACGTAAAATTTCCATCTAAATCAGAGACAATTTGCTATGTGAGAAATGACATGGCACATCCGTTCTGTGAGCAGCCTTACTTTGGGTGTCTGAACAGCAGGCGTTGTTGCTGAGCGAACTTTTACTAAACGCAGGTTTGGCGTGGGCATTGTTTCGCCAGTATTATCTCCACCTGGGCCAACGACTTCTCCTTGTCCTATCAGATCGGTTGTATTTGTACTACTTGAATGGTCCACCTGTGATGCGGAAACTGAACCTGAATCAATGGAAACTGAGCCTGGAGTGGGTTGATACGGTGGTGTTTCTCCCGGTGGACGACTGAAATCATCGTACAACGGCAGCTGACTTGGAGCATTGTGAAGCATCACTTTGAGGTGAGCTTCGCGTTGAAGCGTTTCCGCACTTTGGTGGAGGCCTAAATAGCAGAGGGAAAAAAACAATGATCAAATGAAAAAGACAGATTCGACAAATACTGATTGAGGTAATTAAGAGACAACTCGGATTTGAACGATACCTTTAGACACCAGATGTCTGTATATTAGCTCAAGCAACTCTTCCGGGTCCCATTGAATCCGTGTTTTAGCCACAATTTCTGCACGACGTACACGCTCCAGGGACATATCTCCGGACAAAACGCCATCAGAGAGAGTACCAACGACCAAACGAATTAGCATGGTGGCGTAACGACAGAACTCGGCATGCTCGGTAAGCCTATCCGGGAGAACAGGTTCTTTCATGAGAACTAGTGCAAAAGGAGGCAGAAATCCAAGGATAGTGAACAATGAGTATACGTTTTCAGAATGCGTGGATTCAGAAGATTCGTATTAGCGGGCTGTGACACATATACGAGTGTGATTAGGAGATACGGAGTGTATGAACAATTAAAAACTAGCGAGAACCTCACTGTACAGATATGGAACGCTTTTTGAAATCTTTTCTCGTGGTCATATGTCAGTTTCTTTCGTAAAAACAGACAAATAATTGTTAAGAATGTTGTGTAAAGGTCACTAAAGAGCACTGGATGACACTTGAATGCATACAAACAGTGGGGAATTAACGATCTCCCAAGGAGTGAAACTCACACCGAAG